AGGGGAGGAAGATTCCAGAGGGGTGTGGATAGCTCAGAGTTGTTGCAACTTGTGTTGTTTCATACCCAAAAGCTCCTTGTTAAAACGTCAAATGAGCTGAAAAATGAAGTGGAACTGGGGACCAGGATAGCTCTGAGATAGCATGAGGTGGTCCTGATGGAGACAGAGATCAAGAGTGTGCATGTGGCAATGCATGGTACTGAGTGTGGATCTCAGAATCCAGTGACACCAGCTGTCTGATGAGTGTTGTACATCATGGAGATACCTGTGATCCTGGGTGGATTTGAAATATGATGGATGAAGCTGCAGTTGCAATCCATTTGGGATATGTCTGATGTACTGGAGTCATAGAGTCATACAGCATGGAAATGGACCCTTTGGTCCAACCATTCCATGCTGAACCGAATCCCAAGCTAAACTAGTCCCACCTGCCTACTCCTGGCCCATATCCCTCCAAATATTTCCTATTCATGTACTTATCCAAATGTCTTTTAAATATTGTAATTCTACCCACATCCACTACTTCCTCAGGAAGTTCATCCCACATGTGAACCACCCTCTAAAAAAATTTGCCCCTTATGTCTTTTTAAAATTTCTCTCTTCTCACTTTAAAAATGTGCCCCCTAGTCTTGAAATCCCCCATCCTAGGGAAAAGACAACTACCATTAACTCTATTGATACCTCTCATTATTTTATAAACTTCTATCAGGTCACACCTCAACCTTCTACCCTCCAGTGAAAAAATTCCCAGTCTATCCAGCCTTTCTTTACAACTCAAACTTTCCACTCCCGGCAACATCCTGGTGAATCTCTTCTGAACCCTCTCCAGCTTGATAATATCCTTCCTCATACTTGCGACCAGAACGGGACATAGTATTCCAGAAGAGGCCTCACCAATATCCTGTACAACCTCAACATGACTTCCCAACTCCTATACTCAAAGGACTGAGCAATGAAGGGAAGGATTCAAAACGCCTTTTTAACCACCCTGTCTATATGTGACGCAAACTTCAAAGAATTATGTATCTGCATCCCTAGGTCCTATTGTTCAACAACATTACCCAGGGCCCTACGATTAAAAAGTTTGGTCTTTCTAGGATGGTGTGCCTGTGGGGAACCAAAGAAACCTGTTTGAAATGTGTCCTCCTCTCCTGTCACTGCACTGCCTAGTCCTTTAAACTTCTAAATTTAAAGTCCTGCAGCAGCATAATTTTTTTTCTGCTCTTCCCAGCACAAATGCTCAATACTGGCAGAAGGAATTCCTTCTCTGTCCAAAAATGCACATATTAGCTGACTCCTGAAAATCTACCAGCTTTAGAACCGAACATGTGGGATGAATGAATGTTACAGTGGAAAATGGAAAATCCCAGCCAAGATACCTATTCTGTTAGTCTTTATAAGCTGGCCATGCAATTGCATACTGTTAAACGATGTGTCACTGCAGCAATAATGATTAACATCTTACAAGACAGGCTGAAAGGACAATTCACAAGTGACTAAGAAGTGAATTATTTATAGTTAATTTTGTGTAGATATTAATCATAATACACTCACAGCAGGTGTCTTTCAATTAACAGGGCACTTCTAAAATACAACTTAAATTAAGTGTGACTTTTACGACATAAGGAGTCCATCTTTAACTAATTTTGATTGGTTTAGTGGAGGAAAATTGTACCCATAATCCACATGCTACTTTTGCAAAAAGGTATAATCAGTTTATTCCCCTCCTCCAGTATCCTGCAAAAATGATTCAGTGTTTACTTTCTCAATGCCATGAGGTAACCATCTGCCCGTATCTACTTGCTATCTCTTCAATCCTCTGAAGAAGACAATTGTGTACTAACATGCTAATACGCCAAGAGGCAATGGCCTTGGTAATTGTGCTCCTTCTTACCATGCACCAGCTTGCGTCCCTCCTTCAGAGATTGAGGATCTGCATGGAAACATAACTATGAGCACCACTTAGGAGGGTGAAGATAAATTCTGAACTTGTTTAAAGTGATAACAATAGCAATTGGGTGAGAACTTCCAGTGAGATCACAAGCAGAGCTGTAAGGGTGGAAGGCATATGTCAATCTCCTGGGACCTTCCTGTTACAACTTAGAACTCCTCCTGAGTGAGATGCAGCAGTGAAGATCCAGCTGGTTTTCAATGGATGGCGTGAAGATCCAGCTGGTTTTCAATGGATGGCATGAAGATCCAGCTGGTTTTCAATGGATGGCATGAAATCCCCAAAGTCTATGGTGCACACAATGTGGGCGGAAGTAGCAATTACAAAGGTAAACAATGGAATCTCCGTTGGGAAGAACATGCTGTAGACTACCCAAAGGCTGCAATTAAATTTTCATGGTAGCCCTGGAGATTATAGCCAAGCTGGTGAAAAAAACTCCCTCAAGAACCCAGCAATATCTAAAAAAAATTAAATAGCTGTAGAAATGACAAAATAATGTTTACAGCTTCAGCATTTAAATCCCCTCAGCTGCGATCCACTGCAGCAAACACAATAGACTGCTATATGCAGGGAGTTATAGGATTGACAGCCTGTAAGGCAGAAATGACAGATTAACAAATGGGTGTCATAATCCTACCCTGAGTTTGTGCCCATCCTTTTTTGTGGCCACCCAACTCTGACCTCTGTCAGCAGCTGTGGATGTTCAGAGGGTGCAAAATTCATTTCCCGAATGATATTTGGACACTGGGCTGGCAATGGAATGCTGCTCACTGCATTGCTGATGCTAATTGCAAAGGTCATGTGTAGCTGCAAAATTAATCTTCCAATCTCATTTCATGATTGTGGTCTGGCCACAAGCATCTCCCAGTTTGTCCTATGTAGACATCTGCTCACTCTAGGGAGCTGACTTTACAATCTTCAGAAAGCACCCTCTCCCTTTAGAGGTAGGGTCTCCATAAAAAGAGAAACTGCAAGGATGCACTGCAGGCTGCAGGATAACTACTTTCTTACCATTCTGGAAAAAACAATGACCCAGCAAGGAAGTAGAGGACTCCCATGCGATGCGGCCCTGAAATCACTGTCAAAATCCAGTCCAGAAAAGAAACAATGTTTCCAGCAAGGGTCTTGAAAAAGCATTCAGACCGAACCCTGTAAAGAGAGTGGGAACAGGTGCCAAGGCTTAAGAATGTCCATGCCAAAGCATCACAAACTTGGCAGCAGTCCTTCTATGTGTTTAATAACTCTGGTGGAGCAGCAAGTGAATTCATTTTAACAGCCAGCCCTCACAGTGCTCAATGCACCATATCCTCATCACTCACCTTGTAAGTTTGAGTCAGGTTTGTTACTTTTAGTTCCAACTTGAGACTGACATCTCCAGATATGAGGTTTCTGGGAAAAGTAGCAGTGAGTTTGCTAAGTAGAAGCACAAGTGAGTCAACAAAATGATTCTTAGCAATCTGTTATCAGGAGAACAAGCTCTGGGCTCACTGGTTGATTTGGGTGCTATTTCCCGTTTTGTGTTCATTGCTGCTGTGTTGTAACACCAAGTTGACCATTGTCTATCTCCTCTTGGTTATGTGTTGAGGTTAACAAAACTCTACTTCTTATGCACTTTTTGAGCCCAAGCTTGTGTCTAGGTATTAGGTGACTGATTGCTTTTAAGTCAGATGGAATCTCATCTTAACTGACCCGATTAGTTTATTATTGTTTCATTTTTGGCCTTGACTGTATTCCTTACTGAATTGCAAGCTTACATGTCCCTCATGCATGGCATTTTTGGTGATTAAACAAAGACCTTTTATCTAAAATAATTACTATAAATTTATTTTGCTACTGTCTTATTATACAGTTAGGCAGATGGAAATGTTTATCCAAGCTTCCAATTAGCCAAAGGTCAGAATACTTTCTGACTTAAGTTTTTAACAACTTGACAATTCTTTGTGCTGTCCTCCACACATCAAACTATTACATTGACAAAATGATTTAAACATTAGGCCTTGCAGCTCAGCATTTTCTGTATTCATGCTCCCATACCAACACACAAGCCAGCAGCGCACTCTGGCACTAAGGACTATCATCCTTAACTGTAACTCATCCTCCCATGCTTACCAATGCTGCCAACTGTATGTTTCAATTGTTTCCGCATATCTCCAGCTAATCAGTAGTGGCAGGCACATGTTCCAAAAACACTGACATAGTTACTGACAGTCTGCCCTCCCTCTTACGGGAGAATGTTGCCAAAAAAAACGCAGGAGAGTTAAGTAATGGACAGAGTACATGCAAGGATCCACACTCTCAGTGCCCTGGAGCAGATGGCCTTTAGGATTATTTCCACCACAACCAGTGGCACTTACCATCAGCAAGGTCATCCAGGATAAAGGAAAGTTGTTGCCTTATGTACTTCCCCCACTCATTCCTTCCCCTCACCCAGAAAGGCGCCATAAAATGGAAATGGCAAAAGGAGAGACTGTGTGTCTCTCCATACCCCTCCTCCCTCCCTTCTCTCTTTAAGTCGTGGTACTTAAAGATCTTTAGGAACTTCAACTGAAACCCTATTGTTTCAAATAGAAAGGTAAGAGAAGGGATAGAATTATGAGGAAAATGCACGTTCACTTGATCTAACACACACTGACACCAATTCAGATACTGGCACAGCATAAAAACTGGAGGCTGGTATCTAGCTGGGTCTACATATGGAGCGTGCTTGGGCATGAGTGGGTTGTAGTCAGGGGGTAAGTCAGTTTGTGTGCAAGTTCCATGGAGAACCCTGTTAAAAAAAACCTGGGGGAATGCACCTCCAAAATTTTCCAAAGAGTTTGAGAAAAACAACGATGGAGCAACCAATGGTGGAAAGTTTACCCATATTTGTTGAACTGACAATTGCTGAGGAGCTACTTGTTCAATCACAGCCTGTTTCTCTCCCATGCTTGCCCTGATAGGTTCACTAGTGAGCCAATGGGAGAGAAACAGCCTGTGATTGGTGATGGTGAGGGGCTGGAGAAGGAGAAAGAGAAGTTGAAGAAGAAGTGTAAGAATAAGTGTAAGGTTACTGTGCCATCATGGGGATAAGAGAATTGTGAGGTAGCAGTGCTATTGCTGGGGCTGGAGAACTGTGTGTGTTACAGATCTACAACAGGAATATCCCAACTGCTTATTGAGGTAATCCTAATACTCATTATCATCAACGTAGCTTCTCTTCTTCCCCTGGCTTACTATCAACAATCACTTTGTCTATTAAGCATTTTCAATACATCATACTCTCTGATATGTATGAATAGTATTGTTACCAGGAGATATTGTAACTGACTTTTAACCATTTCTGTGCTTCATAGTTTCCGTCCACCCACTCAGTCAACTTACTTGCAATCTCTGTCTATACAGTATCTAGCTGAGAGATTTTACAGTAGCAATGCACACCACTGATCTTAAGTCATTTTTAGTTGCCAACAACAGCCTATTCCTCCTCCATACATATATTTTTAAAACTATTAAATATAGAGCAAGTTTTTATTTCCTGTTTTATGCAATAAATTAAATGCAAATATTAGATTGCTGTCTTGATACTATATATTTCACTATCAGCCACAATTTGCATAATGTTTCTTTAAATCTATACCATTCAGCTGCTGAGCTGGTATTGTAAGGGTTGTCAGTACAAAAATTATAGATTATTAGTGATATTCATAATACTATAAACATTGTTATACTACTTTTGATGGCAAAATACTCATGAGGATCAAAGACATGCATAGGACCAGTCAGTCAATTGGCCGATTCCAGAATTTAAATATAAAGTAGAAAACAATGTATATATTGACTATCTATATCATTCGATTGATTTTCTTGCCAAGTAGTTCACTAGCTTCTTTCTAAGGATGCTGATGTTCATGCCAAGCAATTACAATCTTTTAAGTCAAATGTTTATAACTGATCTATCCATTCATCTTCTTCATTCAGGCTCTTATTCTGTTTCCCCTTATGAAGTGAAATAACAAATTCACTCAAAGTAACTATTGAAAGATGGTGGCAATTCTCGATGACTGAAATTCCTTGTACTGTATGTAAGGGAAGTTTTAAATACATCAAAATTATGTATTTAATGAGGACTTGCATTATTTTGGCACCTATCATAACTACCAGACATCTCAAAACATTTTACAGTCAATGAAGGATGTTTGAATTGAAGTTACTATTGTAATATAGGAAACACAATACAGACAATTTGCATAGAGCCATCACCCTCAACAGCAATGAGATAATTACCAAATAATAACAATTATCACAAAAATCAAGAATTTAGAAATGCGTTGGCTTCTGCTGAGACCAAGCTTTCTTTTTCAATGCCACATTCCAGCTGAACTAGTTCTAGTTGTTCTTGCACTCTGCCTACTTGGGGGTGGCACAGTGGTTCACACTGCTGCCTCACAGCGCCAGGCACCCTGGTTCGATTCCAGCCTCGGGTGACTGTCTATGTGGAGTTTGCATGTCCTCCCTGTGTCTGCGTGGATTTCCTCTGGGTGCTCTGGTTTTCTCCCACAGTCCAAAGATGTGCAGGTTAGGTGGACTGGCCATGTTCAATTGCCCATAGTGTTCAGGGATGAGTGGTATAGGGGGATTGCCCATAAAGTCTAGGGTGGGAAATGCAGGGTTGTGTAGTGGATGGGTCTGGGTGGGGTGCTCTTCGGAGGGTCAGTGTGGACACGATTGGCCGAATGGCCTGCTTCCACACTGTAGGGATTCTATGATTCTACTTTGTGCAGGCACCTGTGAAAGAAGTGGGATTGTGGGAGCATTCATTGAAAACCCTGATTGAGCTTCTGCCAGTAGAAAGAAGTAACACTTACTTATCATTTCATAGAACTTCCTGCCTGTTGTTGGATTGGACACAACAAAAATGTTTCATGCACTCTCATTATCAGAAACTATTGACCCTGAGATTTAGGAAAAGGCTATGAATTGGGGTAAAAACCAAAAGAACTGTGGATGCTGTAAATCAGAAACAAAAACAGAAGTTGCTGGAAAAGCTCAGCAGATCTGGCAGCATCTGTGAAGAGAAATCAGGGTTAATGTTTCAGATCCTTCCTCAGAACTGATGGTAGCTGGGAACATGTCAGCTTAGATGCAGATGATGGGGTGGGGGCTTGGGAGAGGCGACAAGGGGTAAACGGTAGGTGGGGATAGAGCCCAAACAGAGAGAAGAAAACAGTTAGACAGACAGGGGAGTGGATAACAATCTGGCTAGGAAGGTGAATAGCTGTTAATGGGGACTGTTAGTGGCAAACAGTAGGTAGTGTGTAATGGCAGGCTATGTGATAACAAGGCCTGGTGTGTGGGGTAGGGGGCTAAGACATGAGAGAGTTCAGGCCCTAAAGTTATTGAACTCGATATTGAGTCCGGAGGGCTGCAGGGTCCCCAAGCGGAAAATGAGGTGTTGTTCTTCCAGCTTGCACTGCGCTTCGCTGGAACACTGCAGCAAGTCTGAGACAGAGATGTTGGCCAGGGAACAGGGTGGTGTGGTAAAGTGGCAGGCAACTGGAAACTCAGGAACTTTATTGTAGGCAGAACATAGATGTTCCGCGAAGCAGTCACCCAGTCTATGAATTGGGGTAGACTGATGAACAAAATTACTATTTACTGCACTAACTGCAAGTTCCCCTCCAAGATACTTGTCATCCTGACTTGGAATTATATCGTCATTCTTTCACTGTTACTGGGTCAAAATGATGGAATTTCCTCAGTAAGGGCATTGTGGGTCTACCTGGAGCATATAGACTGCAATGGTTCGAGAAGGCAGCTCACCACCCTTCTCAAGGGCAACTAGGGATGGGCAATAAATGCTGGCTTATCCAGCGATGCTCATATCCCACTAGGGAATAATTAAGATCTGGGCAGTTGAACAGGTCAATAAGAATTTGAGGCACCAGATCTAACTCCAACTGATAGACTGTAAAACTGTGTACTCACTGTTTGTAAAATTGATGAGCTGAGAACTAAATATTTAACTGAAGGAAGAAAATGCATTCACTTTTATAAAATGTTGATACTTGGACCATATGTTTCATTGTAAATTAATTATAAATACCAACAGTATCTGCATATTTTACTTCTGCAGGATTCAACAATGGTCTGATATTTCTTAAAATAATAATCTGTCTGTAATTTATGCAGTTGTCCCAATTGTTTGCTATAACTTCAGCAAAAATCTTGCAAAAAGAAAATGCAGCTGTTTGCTTTGTTTCTCAGGTTCTACTACTCTACTCTCCACTGAAGTTATGGTAAGAGATTAGTCAACCCGCCTAATACAAAAATTGTACACTGTTGTAACTTCCACGCAATAATAGCAAAAACATCGTTTTATTTTACACTGCTAATGTCATTGAACCCTCAATATATTTATTGTCTCTTCTCTTTCCACAGACTCAGCACTAGAACTTCATATAGAATCATAGAGTTTTTACAGTGCAACAAAAACCCTTTGGCCCGTCCTATCTGCACCAGTCATCAAGCATCTATCTATTGTAATCACATCTCCAGCACTTGGCTAGTAACTGTGTACACTATGGCATATCTGGATGTTTTAAAGCAGAGCCTTTTTGTGATGGATCACCATTTCCCCCATATATAGCCCATGGCAAAAGGGATAAGCAGTGTTAGAAACGCATATTCTTATAAGACCATAATATGTGGGAGCAGATACAGGCCATTCAGTCCATTGTGTCTGGTGCACCAATCAGTTGGATCATGGCTGGTCTATTCTAATCTAATGGATTATGAGAATTGGAAATAGCAAATTTGGATAATTCCTAGGGGGCAAAGTTTTACCATAGGACTTTTTGGAACCCAAAAATCAATGGATCAAGAAAAACTGGGGATTGTCTGCTGTTCAAGAAAGTCAGCAGACTTTGCAGAGAATACAAGTCAAAGTTGCTAAGACAGAGACAAAAGATAGGGTTTATTATTGTAATTGATGGACAAACAAGCTTGAAAAAAGCTGTAAAGATCTGTGCTGTCATTGCCTAACAACAGCCTCTGCACTGATATTTGTGTGGATTTTTCAGTATAAATCAAATATGGCTCTGCTGGAGAGGTTTGCAAAGAAAGAAGCTCTCTCATTCTTAACAAAGTATTTGTGAATCAAATATCAGGGTTCTTAACTGTTTCCAGCTGAAATCTGGGCCGAAAATCTTCCATTACTCTTCAACCGACAACAATCAGATTGTCAACAGATATCAAAAGAGTTGTAGAAGTCAACTTATTTCTACGTTCTGCATTCAAACCTTTGACAGACAAGGACATTATTCCTTTAATGATTCTTTGCCCCATCCACAATAGCCCTGAAGATCTGTGACATCTTGTCCTATATATGAATATGTGTGTGTTTGGAATAAAGGGAGATATAGTTTGAAACTATGTAGTAGCATAGTTGATAAACAATTTTGCCGCTTATTGTAAGAATAGATTTTATCTTCAATAAATGTTATTTTTCAGTTTATTGAAGAACCCTGATGAAAATCTCTTTTGTTCTAGATAAACTAACCATTTGATGATTAAATCAGACATTCGCTCTTTTGGTATGGCTTTTAGAGTATTGGAACTTGATTACCAGTGCACTCCTCCTGTCAGAGCCGTAACAAGATAAAGGAATTTTTACAACACAAATTTACATAGATCTGATCTATTTCATGTAGGCAGGCATCAGAATAAACCTAGTGTACAACATAGCTTAGCAGTATCAGTGGAACCACCAGGGGTCCAGATATCTGGCCTGGTCTGAGACTCCACTAGAAGCTATGGCAACAATAATCCTCTTAGCTCCTTTATAATGGGAGCCTATTGAGGCAGCCAAACTTGTCAATAGTGGTCGACGCACAGCAGTGCTTTTCTAGTTCCACCTGCTGCCTGACAGGACCTAAGCAGCTTCCGTCGTGGCCATTGCATCCATAATTACTACTTCAGTGAAATGACCTTTTCTTGAGTTCTGATACTCCACAGGCGTCAGATATGGGTGTCATCAGTGCCACTTTGCCACTGTTCTACTGCAAGCAGGCCTGTGAATTTTCAAGTAGTGGAGGGTGTATTTTAGGGTAGTCCCATTTGTGTTTGATTGTATGTGTTTAGTGAGCAGCAGCCATTATCTAAAATAATCAGGAATAAGGAAAAGTTGCAAATTAAAATGATGCTCCATCTTGGGTTTGAGAGGTAATACATACACGAGGAAATAAATATTCTACAGATACCAGCTGGGAAATAATTCAGAACTGTGTATCCTTGTTGTGGTGTTGGTACGTTAGCTTCACAATCCATTCTTATATTTTTGAATTATTGAACAATCCTGATATTAGTTATCTGGATGTTTATCATTGGTACTGTATTGCATCATATATGTGGGCAGCCTGATGATAGACATAGCTCATTCAGTGACAAATCATATTAGTATCAAGGTTTTGAGGTTTTGTCTAAAACATAAGTGACAGCTCATTCATGTCATCTGTCTGCTTGTCCTCTCAGTCAGGGAGCAATGTGTGGCAGTGTAAAAGAAAAGAAAGGTCAACATTATCTTCTTTTGAACAAATTGCAATCCATCCAAATTCATTCTGTAGAAATAAATGCCTTTCTAAAATATTATAGAAAAGTTAAATTAACTGAAATTAATTTTATTTTATACAAAAGCCCCAGCATCTGCATGATTAACATCCATAAGATTTTGAAACGGATAACAAACTAAAGTTCTTGCTCCCAATACTTGTGCGTTTCAGAAGTTTGAAACATTGTAGGTGAAGTAACTCCACAGAGACCAGTATCCCAGGTCACCAGGTCACCCTTTATTTACATGTGGAGATTCCTTGACAAGTGTCCTGCTATAGACTGCTTCAGTATCTGAAGCAATTATGTTCAAATGCAACAAGCTCTGGAGGATATCCAGGCTTGGGCTGAGGAGTCACAAGTAACAGTCGCGCCAAACAAATGCCAGATAATGACCATTTCTAATAAGAGGCAATTTAACCATTGCCCTTGACATTCAATGCTGTCACCATCACCGAATACCCCACTAACAACATTCTGGACCTATCATTGACCAGAAACTCAACTGGACTCACTATTTAAGCACTGTGCCTATAAGAGCAGGTCAGAGGCTAGGAATACTGCAACAAGTGACTCACTTCCTGATTCCCCAGTGTCTGTCCACAAGCTACAAGGTACAAGTCAGGAGTGTGATGGAAAACTCCCCCCTTATCTGGATGATGCAGGTCCAACAACACTCAAAAATCTTGACACCATTCAGGAAAACGCAGCCCGCTTGATTGGCACCACATCCACGAGCATCTAGTCCCTCCATCACCAATGTTCAATAATAGCGAAAGTGTGTACTGTGTACTATCTATATGACACTGCAGTCCACATGCTGTAAGTTGACCTTTCGGAAGGAATTCCAGGATTTTGAACTGGTGATAGTGAAAGAACAGTGATATATTGCCAAGTCAGGACGGTGAGTGCCTTGGAGGGAAACTTGAAAGTCGTGGTGTTCCCATGTATCTGCTGCCCTTGTGCTTCTAAGTGGAAGTGGTTGTGGGTTTGGAAGGTGCTGTCTAAGGATCTTTGGTAAATACCTACAGTGGCCTTGATGCCAAGGGTTGTTACTCTCACCTCACCTCTAAAATTCAGCTCTTTTGACCATGTTTGAACCAAGGCTGTAATGAGATCAGGAGCTGAGTGGCCCTGGCAGAACCCAAACTGGGTGTCACTGAACAGGTTATTGCTGAGCAGGCGCTGCTTGGTTACACCATTGATGCCACTTTCCATCACTTTATTGACAATCGAGAGTAGACTAATGGGGTCAGGTTGAATTTTTCCTGCTTTTTGGGTACAGGACATACCTGGGCAACTCTACACATTGTCAGGCAGATTCCAGTGTTGAAACTGTACTGAAGATCTTAGCTAAGGGAGCAGCAAGTTCTGGAACACAAATCTTCAGGACTATTGCTAGAATGTTGTCAGGGCCTACAGCCTTTGTAGCTCTAGTGCCACCCATCATTTCTTGATATCACATGGAGTGAATCGAATTTCCTAAAGGTATCTGTAATGCTGGGGATCACTGGATGAGGCCAAGATAGATCATTCACTTGGCACTTCTGGCTGAAGATTGCTGCAAATGGTTCAGCTTTATCTTTTGCACTGATGTGCTGGGCTCTTCCATCATCGAGGATGGGGATATTTGTGAAGCTGCCTCCTCCAATGAGTCGTTTAATTGTCCACCATTGTAGTGACTGGAATGAGGTCAGCCAGGTGGATGCCATAGGATATGAGTTCTCTGATTGGGGCTGTTAATCTGATCAAATCAAGGAGCCCTGACTGACAGATAAGCATTGTCAGATATCCAGTTCACTCTGAGAGCTGGTTCTGAGGGAGCTGGACCAGTGTCAAGGACTCTCCATGTGTAAATAAAGGATGTCTTGGTGACAGGATACCAGTCTCTGTGGAGTTATTTCAGTAGTGATAAGAGAAAAGCAAACTCCTGAAGAAATTCATTTGCAACAGTTGTCTTTGAGGTGGGCTAAGTATTTCTGACATCATGCTATTATTTGGGGAGCTTGACTCATTCGATCCTGCTGTAGGTCTAGTATGCAGAAAGATTGGGTTAGTTTTTCTGGGCAAATGACATTGGGGCAGATGAAAGGCAATGTGTAATTCTCCTGACAGCTGTGGACGCAATGCTTTTTTGGTTATTGGGAGCCTAACTTTCCCTGAGGCACCAGATACAAAAACCTTTCAAGAGTTGACGGATTGACTTATGTAATATTCTGACCCGAAGCCTCCTCTAATTCTGAGACACTACCAGTTTTAAGGCAATTCAAGAACCAGGGAATTCGTATTGGGATTTTTGACTAGGTTAAGACAACTGACAGAGGCATGTGACTTTGGTTTAACCCTTAATGTGATGCTGAGAGACTGTTTGGTATGTGGGATTAATGATGTAACCATGCAAAAGCACCTATTAGCTGAAGCCCAATTGGACTTCAAACTGAGACCACAACTGGTTTTAATATTGGAAAGTGGGGCAAGTGGACCATATTAGTTGCAGGGTATTCCAAAGGAAGTGGTCACCCTCGCCAGTCTGACTGAGCTTGTGGAACAGCACTCGAGTGAAGGGAATTACAGAGCTTTGCTCAGGACATATGCTGAACATAGGGACTCGAGGTCAAGCCAAAGCAAAACCCCAAAACAAAGCCAAGCCTTTGCCAAACGGTTAAAATTTTCTTCAGTATCTGGCAAGCCATTATAGTTGCCACCAGTATGCAGACTTGAGACAGCAAAAAGAGTCCTGCTAAATGTAAATTGAGTAAGAAAACTCCTGGCAAGTATCCAGGAAAGATCACAACCTGGAAAGTCCACCTACATCTGGTTTGGAACAATTAAATTCTTAGCATCATCCAGATCAGAACCAATCAGAATAAACATCTGGTTAAATGGTCACCCGCTTCTAATGGAGGTTGATACTTGTGGTATGGCCATTTCAGCAATCACAGAATCAGTCTTTAACAAATTTGCTCTGGACTCCAACCCTTGGGATTGCATAAGACCTCAGACAGACTGAGAACCTGTACCAGTGAACCTTTACAGGTTAAGGGTACACAACTTCGATCCCACTCTCTTATGAGAAGCAGCTGATTCAGTTAACACTGATTGTAGTAAAAGGCTGGGCCCAAGCTTGATGGAGCAGAATTGGTTGAGAAAGATTTACTTAAATTGGCTGAACATTTTTTGATTAGAAAATGGCTTCCTGAGTGAAGTCCTAATTAAATACCCAGAAAATTTTTAGTAAGGTCTGGGGACTATCAAAGGAGCCAAGGTCATCCTGCATGTTGACCAGGAAGAAATTCCACAATTCTGTAAGGCCTGCCCAGTGCCATTTACCATATGCGCAAAAGTAGAGGCAGAAATAAGAAGGCTATAAAGTGAAGGAATCATCAAACCAGTCCAATTTTCTGAATGGCCAGCACCAGTTGTAATGATTGGGAAGCCCGATGTGTCAGTTTGCCTTTGTGGGGATTTTAAACAAACGGTAAATCACTTTTCATAGCTGAATAAATACTCAATTCTTCACATAAAGGATTTATATGCAAAGCTGGCAGGGGGGGATGTCCTTCATGAAGCTGGAGATGAGCCATGCGTATTTGCAATTACGGTTAAATGAGAATTCCCAGAAGTATGCTACAATTAATGCATACAAGAGTTTATACCAATATACGAGAGTGCCATGTGGGGTATCGTCAGCCTGTGCAACTTTTCAGTGGACAATCGAGAACATTTTACAAAGTCTACCCCAGGTCGCCATTTATCTAGATGACATGCTAATAAAAGAGAAGACTAAAAAGAAGCACTTAG